TCAAATTTCTTAAACACAGTTGCCGAGAAATTAGTAGTTTTTCTGACATGGTTTTCAGTTGCATGTTACAACAAACTATTCTGGTTGGCAGAAGAGTCAAGGAAGATCTCGGCGTGCTGGTTGAATTCCTCAGCATATCGCATGTGAAGGTTGTGCTTTCCCTCTGGCATTATCAAAACCCTGAGGAAGAGGTTGAGATAGCGTAAACAAAGTCAGTTTGTTGACAAACACAAACATGTATTCCTTAAAAGCTGTGCTAGTATCTCCTAATTTCAGCAAGGTAAAAAATTATCAACTGCCAAACTAACTTTGATCCACTTTAAGCTACTTTTGAATGAGACCAGAACTGACAGAAATGCATAAAAAACTCATACCAATTGTGCATTTATTCTCTAGATGTCAGCAAAGATTTGAAGAAGCACAAAAATTGGCCAAAGATGCAGACATCCATCTTTTGTAAATCCATGGGAACGTCTGTAACTTCAGGTGGTCTCTATGGGAGTTAGTTGCCTACGATGATAACTCCAATACCTTGAGATACCTTTGAGAAGCACCTCACCTTGATCCCCTGATGTTCTGGTTCAGGTAATGAGCGTGCTCAATGGGCACCATGAAATCCTTCTCTCCGTGGATGATCAGCGTTGGGCACGTAATCCGCCGGCAATCGGCCATGCACAGATCTGTGCGGTTCTCGCTCCAGATCTGGCGCATGCTGTCGATCCAACTGCTCCACAGCTTCTGGAAGTATTCCTCGTCGTACAACTCCACCATCGGGGCCCGCATCCGCTCGCTCCACTTGCAGATGTCTCGGGTTGCTGAACATAGCCAAAGAAATAAGCTCATAAAAATAACAGTAATAATGAAGATATCTTTAATTCGCATGTAGCCACCATGACTCAAACCTTAAGTATTTTATATCATTATTCATGCTCTCCAACAGTGGTGGAATGATTTTCAAAGTGGGGGCAATCAGCCATCAGCAATTAATAGGCTGACCCATTAAGCCCCACCCCATTATAGGACCTGGAAATTGTCTGGTTCTAAACATCGGCTCCAAATTCCTATCTTGATATGGCTGAATCTGAGATGCAATGTTTAACTTAAAGAGGTTTGTTGCTGGCAGCATTTACGTACCCTCGTAAGCGTCCAAGTCCTTTTCTGTCAAGTACGCATTCCCTCCCCACACCAAGAGCTTCTGCACATGATCAGGGTATGTTGCTGCCATTATGATGCCCGTGATGGCACCGTCACTCCAGCCCAGAACTGAGTAACGATCGTACCCAAGAACCTCCACGTACAAGTTGGGGAAAAAGCCATGTGTCAATGTTATTCAGACAAGGAAATGTTGTTCATAAGTGCAAAGGCAAGAATGATTTTCATGAGTTGACAAATTGAATGCCACCTTATGAAATTATTCTTTCCATTGCACGTATGTAAAATTGCATTATTTGTTTTATAAAACGCAACACCTGAATAAATCCTTTGTCAACTTTGTGTACCAGTCGCTAGTTTGATCTGTAAGTTAAATGTAAAATTGCAACACAAACTTCTCGCATTCTTATTTAGTTCATGCTTAGACACACGCTCCTGTGCATCTTACAATTTGCTGTTGATCATTTGATAACTTACTTCATTTGTTTCTATCAGAAATATGACCATCACTTACAATTTGACAAATATCCTCATCTGACTGAAGACAAGATGGTGCCACCCATTTATCAGTATCATCTGAATTTTTGCATTAGTTTGTGTGAGGAGCTAGACTTGACTGAAGTCGGGATCCTCTATGATGCTGTTTGCATTTATGCTTTGGATATGGCATAGATATCATAATTATAAGATCTCTATGGGATATGGAGGCTGTGCAGCATTACTTGCTTGGCTCCCTCTTAATTGTTCAGAAATCCCGACTTGATGAATCTGCCAACCGTTTGTGCACAGTGAATCGGCTCATCTACCAAAAGTGGGAGCAGCCAATCAAATTGCCGGACTTGTTTTTACATTATAATGAACGAGTCTACGAGTCTGACTACTTTGATTGGTGGAATTTCCAACTTCCAAGTCTGACTACCTTGATTGGTGGAAGTTCTGTATACATTATGCAAGATAACGTTAATATAACGTTCATATAAGCAATTATGAATAACAACACATCACCAACGGGAGGTACGATTGGCTAATATCCGTCAAGTCGGATTTACTGACTGGGAATGATGTATTGACACACGTTGTACAATAAATGCCATCAAATGAGGGTGCCTTCTATAAGAGACTAGAGTTATGCAACAGCTCGAGTGCGACACCCGTGTACTGTGTACAGGCTATTGAAGGGATGGCCGACTGGGGAAGAGCAACGTCAGCCCGACTTGATTCCATCAGTCTACGACCCCGTGCCCACCGTTTGCAATATAGTACAATGGTATATTCAGTAGGGGTACACATGTACGTGTATTGAACAGTGTGGTGTGGATTACAGCAAATTCACGGCAAGCGATCAATTACCAAAATGCCAATACCCAGCTGTGATGGAAAGTCAAAAGATTTATAAGCAGGTTATAAGGCGGCTGGTGCTATATAGTTAAGCCCATTTTATAAATGCAGTCTCAATTAAGTCTGATAAAAAGTGGCACAGGTGAAGAGAGGTAAGAAATGCCTTAGTTAGAGCTCATCTGAATGCCCTGTGGCTACCATGTCCAATAGACTGATTGCACCTGCTAAATCATGTGACCAATTAATAGGTATCAACCCCATAGCAACGTGTATTTTGAGTGTTGTTTAAGAACAATACAGGCAAGTTCTGGTTTAGTACCCGGCACATCAGTAGTCCGAGTACGCGTAGTTACCGTCGGCTTTATTTGGGTAAATGATACTTCTGAAACACTTTGCTGTGGTCCCTAGCCTCACCGACATCAGGCTGGCTGCATCCTTTCCATCTCGGTGATAGAAATCCAATGGGAAGTCTCTATCGGGAGGTCTGGACTTGCCGTAACCTCGGGGGTCAAAGGTCACCAGCGTGTACTTGTCTTTGCTCAGGCCCTCAAACTGTGGTTTCATGTCCACCCGACCTGATCCTGCAGGGACAAAAAATTTGTTAGCACAAAGCCAAGTCTTCAGTAAGAAGACAACCTTACATTTTCTGGTCTGTGTGAGCATGTTCAGAGAGCCAGCTAGCACCTACAAAGGATATCACTTTTTAGAAAATTGGTCCAGGGCCCTCTAGGGACAGAATGCAAAAATGAAAGTTCCTGGAAATCTACCTATACACCCACCGAGAGCTCCTGGCAGAAGCAGCACTGCATGGTTCCCCTTGCCAGTCTGGTCATAGCGTAGCTGAACACCGTTCACTGCCACTTTGCTCCCCTCACTGCACAAAAAAGAAAATGCAATCAAGGAAAATGTGAGGATAACACAGAGTTGCTGACTCGAGTCATGTGACTTAGACTCGAGTCAGACTCGAGTCGATATTTCTGCGACTTGTGACTTGACTTGTAAATACTAGCTTTGACTCGACATGGACTTGCAATAACATTTTTACTAGGGAAGGGGGGGCCAAATTTTTTATGGAGGTAACCGGGAATGAACAACTAACATTGGAGGGGCCATTTTTTCTTATTGACAAACTGACAACTTCATCCTGTTTCATCACTTTCTTTTATTTCCGTTTGTTCTTCATCAACTTTTTCTCAATTTCTTTTTGCCAAGAAGCACGCCTCCCCCAAATGAACCCATTTGTGGTTAATATTTCAAGAGTAACGAGCTTGTTTTGAACTTACATATATACCTCGGTGTCTTTGATGTGTGTTTCCAACCACACCACTGGAATCAACAAAAGATATTCAAGGCCTGAACCCTTTTTGTATATTTGCAGTTATCTGTTTACACTTCATATGTGTAAACAGACCTCTAACTGCTCACGTACAAGGAAATAATTTTACACTGTATTTTTTCGAAGGTCCGAGAATGGATTCAAAAACTCAGGAAGTTCTTTGTTTTCATGTGTTTGATTACAGACAACATCTACATCTGGTAGTGGAATCATCACGAAAGAGATGTTGCTGAGGTCGAACACTAAGGACCCCCAGAAACTGACCAACAACTTTAATTACGTGCCTGTGGAGGGAGGACCACTTGGCAGTGCGCGCACTCACGTATTGACTGGACACAAGTCCTGTCGACATGATGCACATGTCCAACCGAAATCCCTTCCTGGACTCTGATTCCATTCATGCTATAATCAGTAAGTATTACCGATTTGTGCATTTCAGAATGTAGTAATTTTTTGTCTTGGATCCTGTACACGCCAGTACAGTGCTTTTCAAAAACAATTCTTCTGATACTAAATCACACGCCTCTTTCGTTATTTACAGCAACAGTCCGCAGTTTATTCCCAGATAGAAAGCCAGCAGACATTAAGACGTAAATGAGGCGAAAGCTCAACAATTATGCTTCTAAGCAGGTCAGGAAAGCTCAGCAGAATGATCTGCAATGTAATTAGATTAAAAGTGATTTGTCTGTGCTGTAACACTTCACCATTAACTGCTTAATTGTCAACAAAAAGGGCCAAAAAAAAAGTAATGGTAAAAATTGAAAAGTGTTAACGTGTTCTGCATATGATTCAAATAATGTACATGTACGTGCATTGACATGTATGATCTAAAAATAAATAAGTAGCTTTTGTCATTAATTGCACAGCATAAAATGCAACTGTTTTCAAAGAAGTTCTTCGTTCAGCAGCTATTCCCCCTGGTAAATTTTATGGTACATGTATCCAGTTTTTGCAGTGATTCATTTCTAAATTTACAACACCCAGGGCTGTCCAGAGTTGATGAAATGTTCACAGTACAAGTCCTATGGAAAACAGGTGTATTTTCAAAGACGCGTGTCAATCACATTTAACCATTGACATATTCCTAGCCGACCTGCATGCTTAAGTCCACGTGTCAATCCAGATAAATGTAAAACAAGGTTCAGCTTTTTATACGTGTCGTATTATCCGGCCGGCTGCCGGATAGGTTTCTGCGCTGCACAGATGTTATCCAAATACTGCTGTTGCTCCTCCTTTGAGAGCAAACTATGATAGTCACTGTTCTCTCTGAGCAAGTCCTTGTGTGCTGACAACCATTCCTTGTATTCAGTGCGAACTTCAACTGGGTCATGTTTTTCATTCATGAGAAGTTCAAGCCTTTCTGTTTTGCCCTTACTTGCCGGAGCAACTGTGAGAAATGCTTTGCCTTAATGTCCTTGTAAGCAAGCCCCTTTTTCTGTTTGAATTCTTGCCCTTGCTGATCCATGTCAGACATTGATTTCACTATGTGTGTCACCTTCATCGTGTTCATGGCTGTAGCTCCCTCCTGCTCTTGTATCCATCCTGTTGTTAAACGTCAATGATGTATCTGCTAAATAAGTTCCACGTCAATTCGGTGCTTCAGATTCAGATCATTTATTTCAAGCTCAATCAAGTTCGAAATGTTCTTCCGTGTTTTGTCTTGTCTAGTAGAGCATATCACAGTGCTTGACAACACAGTATGTTGGAAGTCTTGTTGCACAGATTGACTTGAATAAAGCACAAAATAAAACACAATGCGTGTCATGAAGACCATTCAGTTATTGTGGGATACGTCTGAACATGTACAACCGAACGCATGTGAAGATCCGTACCATGTATATGTGTATCCCAACCACATGTAACTTGCCTAAACAATCCTAATAAATATAAATATTTTAGCAAAAGTAACACTCTAGATGTAAAGTCAATGGCATTACAGTAATTACACTAATCACAATTACATTTGGGATAAAGAAACACTAAACCCTA